TTGGCCTCATAAGCCACCAGTGTGCCTGTAGCAAATGTGGATAGAGCCTTCCCAAATCTTCGTTCGCAAAGCCTAGCCATGAATGACTGCTTTCCAAGGCATTTTTTAACATAAGTAAGTAGCCGGAATCCTTTTTTCACCAGATGTACTACAGTGCAGCTAGCTACAATGTAATTATTTTGTTTGCCTGCGAGGTAAATCAAATTGATGTATAACTGGAAAGTACTGCCAACCTTTATTAAAGTCATCTCTTTGTTAATAGCAAGCTTTACATGAATATCACTGATTAATCAATTAAAATGTTAAATAATCTTTCACCAAGAGTCCTTGGGAGTCCCATTAGAGTAACTCTAATTTCTGCTTCTTCCATAATCACAACTATGTTCTGAAACATCTCAGTGAGCCAATTCAATGCATCTGCTGCATGCCCTGTTTTTCCCACACAGTGTGTGCATTTCAGCAAATGCAATCCTGAAAAAACAAACCAACAACAACAAGAGACAGCAACTTCTTAATATCATTTGTTTTCTGTGAGAATGTGCTGCATGCTGGATTTTTAGTCACGTATTTTTGTTAATGTGATGAAAATATTTCCATTAATATGTGTGTATTTTTTACTATCTTAAATCCTTCTAAAGCTGAATTTTAATGAATTTACTCATATAGAGTACCTTGGAGCTGAACTGCACAGTAGTTAGTCTTTAAGAGTAAGATCATACAGCTGAATAAGGTCAGAGACACAAGTGAGTGGATGACTTAAGCTCACCGGTTCCCACAAGCTCCTAAATTTACAGGAGTGACAGTGGACGTTGCCGTAACAAGTCATGCAATGATTTGCAGTGATTCCCCATCTCAGCTTTCTCTCCTCTGTGTTCCGCTGATTGACAAAGAAATGAGGCTGACACTTCTCACAAGAGACACTTCTCTACAGTTCAGCCTCTCGGACTCATGGATCCAAAATATCTGGACTTTTTTAAATGTTTGAGTTGGAGGAGGTCAAGGTTTGCCTCTCAAATCTGCTGCCACTGATAATTATTCTTTTTTCTCTCCCTCTCCTATTACTAGGAGCTTTGCAAATTTACGATTTTGCCATACCATTTTCTTCTGACCATATTTGTTGTCACTTTTTTTTTTATATTTTCTGTAATGTCTTCTCTATTAGAAGAACTAATTTTCCAAACAATGCCTGTAAAGAATCACCAGAGTAGCCTAAAAATATAAAATATCCCAAGCTTTTATTTAGATTCCAAGCTTTCCTGTCACACCCAATATAGTATCCTCTCAAAGCAGTTTTATGTTTTCTTTTTTTTTCCTTGAACAGAACCTCTACTGAAAGTTGAAGAAAAAATATACGACTCAATCACAGGAACATTTAGGTATGAATAAAAAAAAACATTCAATTGCGTGCCACAGTGTAAAAGTGTCAGTAGATATTTATTTATTTATTTACATTAAGCCTATCTGTGAACTACAAAGTCCTATATTTTAATCAGTATTTACTTTCATTTTGATGCTGGAAGTTTATTCTACAAATAATCAAATTTTGCTTAACGTCTACATGAAAAAGCAGACAAAAATAGATTCTTAGAAGTCATACCATTTTTCATTGCCATTTACTTTTATTTTTCATACTTTTCATTTATATATCATATCCTATTTTAATTTTCATATATTCCACCAATTTATCAAAATATCATTTTTTTACTGTGTTACTTTTGTATTTTTTGAAGCTGATGATTGCATGCTACATTCTGACATTGTTGTTTTGTAATCCCATGGTTGGAGCTATGTCAACCAGGTCAGAAAAAGTAAGATGTGTTGCATTGAAGCATTTTTGTGTCTATTTTGTAATTGTAACCATACTAATGTTTTAAGACTGCAGTTATTAATGCATTGTTACATAAATTTTAAATATGTCCAAGTCAAATGTGATCTATGTTTAGATGTTAAGGAG